CCACAGCCATTTGAGGGGAAAACTCTATGTTTTCCCCTCAAATGGCTGTGGCCCCACCCCCAGCGTGCAATGTCACATCCGGGTGACGTAGGCGCGGCGCGCGTGCGCGCTTTGCGCGCGCACACACCGGGAGATAGCCTGGGGTCCCCCGCCGAGGAGGTAAGAGACATTTGGCAACCCTATCTCTAGGCCCAAGCCTACCTCAAGTTTGATGGTCTCCTCCTATCCAGCCCGCACCAACTTAAACCTATCCACAAAATGGCGTCTCTCCACACCTCCTTTAGTGCCTGTGAGGGGCTTTCAGATGACGATCTGGGGGGGCCTTTTCTTCTCCTCTTCTGCCCCCCCCCTCCAGGGTGCCTCCTCCAGCCTCGTGGTGAAATTTGCGGACACCGAGAAGGAGCGGGGCCTCCGGCGCATGCAGCAAGTGGCCAATCAGTTGGGCATGTTCAGCCCCATCGCGCTGCAGTTCGGGGCGTACAGCGCCTACACCCAAGCAGTAAGAGGGCCGGCCGTCTCCGGCTAGGGAGCAGAGGGAGGGGACGCTGGGGAGTGGAGAAGGCATGGGGGTGGGCAGTGGGGACAACCACATGGGCGGTGTTCCGGCCACCATGAGGCCTAGTTCTCGCAGAGAGTAAACCTGTGCCTTAGCTGCCCTGAGGGGATTTTCTATGCGCCTCTATACAAAAAGCCAATTCCTCATAGAAAAAAATGGCAAGAACATACGAAGAGACCTGCTGGATCAGACCACTGGTCCATCAAGTCCAGCTTCCTGTCGCATACAGCAGCCAACCGGTTTCTTTGGAGGGCCAACAACAGGGCAGAGAGGCTGAGGCCTTCCCCTGAGAAGAACATTAGAAGAGCCCTGCTGGGTCAGACCAGCGAGGGTCCATCTAGTCCAGCATCCCGTCTCACCCAGTGGCCAACTAGTTCCTCTGGAGGGCCAACAAACAGGGCAGAGAGGCCGAGGCCTTCCCCTGAGAAGAACCTCAGAAGAGTCCTGCTGGGTCAAACCAGCGAGGGTCCACCTAGTCCAGCATCCCATCTCAACCAGTGGCCAACTAGTTCGTCTGGAGGGCCAACAAACAGGGCAGAGAGGCCGAGGCCTTCCCCTGAGAAGAACATCAGAAGAGCCCTGCTGGGTCAGACCAGTGAGGGTCCATCTAGTCCAGCATCCCGTCTCACACAGGGGCCAGCCAGTTCCTCTGGAGGGCCAACAAACATGGCAGAGAGGCCGAGGCCTTCCCCTGAGAAGAACATCAGAAGAGCCCTGCTGGGTCAGACCAGTGAGGGTCCACCTAGTCCAGCATCCCATCTCAACCAGTGGCCAACTAGTTCGTCTGGAGGGCCAACAAACAGGGCAGAGAGGCCGAGGCCTTCCCCTGAGAAGAACATCAGAAGAGCCCTGCTGGGTCAGACCAGTGAGGGTCCATCTAGTCCAGCATCCCGTCTCACACAGGGGCCAGCCAGTTCCTCTGGAGGGCCAACAAACATGGCAGAGAGGCCGAGGCCTTCCCCTGAGAAGAACATCAGAAGAGCCCTGCTGGGTCAGACCAGTGAGGGTCCATCTAGTCCAGCATCCCGTCTCACACAGGGGCCAGCCAGTTCCTCTGGAGGGCCAACAAACATGGCAGAGAGGCCGAGGCCTTCCCCTGAGAAGAACATCAGAAGAGCCCTGCTGGGTCAGACCAGTGAGGGTCCATCCAGTCCAGCATCCTGTCTTACACGGTGACCAACCAGTTCTTCTAGAGGCCCAACAACAGGGTATAGGGGCTGTTGGACATGACCGGTGTCCTTGGTAGTGTTTTTCCCAGCCCAATTTGAGGATACACACTCAAAGCAGTCCTGTAGAGTAGAAGACCAAAAAAATAATTTATTAATTAATAAAGGAAGAGTACAGCTCTCAAGGCTTTGGAACCCTGAATACCCAACAGACTCTTCGAGTGTCGCAAAGGGTGACGTAGGACGTTATACTCAGGGTGATGCACACAAATTGAACAAGGTGATTGGTTCCATCAAACATCAGCCCTCTGACCTAACAGGTCTCTGATTGGCAGAAAACCTTTTAGGCTGAGCTTTCCCAAGTAAAGTTTTTTTTCCCTTTCAGCTGAACAAGAAGTGTCTCTTTCTCTTAGACTGTAAAATGCTAAAAGTATCTATATAGCTGATATGGTTTACAAGGAGCCGTTGTTCTTCGTTTAGCCAGAGACATGCGCAGTTATAGCTGGCCTGCCGAGGCCATAAGCCTCAGCCAAAATAGTAAGTTAACATTTTGTCCTTTCAGCATTTTACCTTCCCAGCATGCATCCAAACAACAGTCACAAATGAACCAAAGGTAATACCTGAATGCATTCATGATGTTAGAATCATAAATGTGGCACTTAACATATGCACCGTGGAAGTGCTAAGTGCACCCACCAAGTCAAACCTGTTAGTCAGTGGCAGAGTATAAAGTGTTTCATAAACTGTGCGTACAACAAGGCCCTGATAAGAACATAAAAAGAGCCCTGCTGGATCAGACCAGTGAGGGTCCATCTAGTCCAGCCTCCTGTCTCACACAGGGGCCAACCACTTCCTCTGGAGGGCCAACAACAGGGCAGAGAGGCCGAGGCCTTCCCCTGAGAAGGACATCAGAAGAGAGCCCTGCTGGATCAGACCAGTGATCCATATAGTCCATCATCCTGTCTCATACAGCAGCCAACCAGTTCCTCTGGAGGGCCAACAAACAAGGCAGAGAGGCCAAGGCCTTCCCCTGTTGCCTCCTGGCACTGAGCTTGACTAAACCCTGAGGCGCTAGCTTTCTACTGCGAGATGTGCCAGCCAGTGTGATCTAGTGGTTAAGTGCCATGGACTGTAATCTGGAGAGTCTGGCTTGATTCCCCACTCCTCCGCCACCTGAAGCCTGCTGGGTGACCATGGGCCTGTCACCGTTCTCTCAAAAATCTCTCTTACCCCGCCTACCTCATAGGCTTGCCAAGTCCCCCCGGGGGGCGGGGAAACCCCCGCCCCAGAGGCCTGTTCCCCGCCGGCGGCGGATCGGGCCCCGGGGGGGACTCCACTGAACTCCTCCCCGACGTGCGCGTCACCCGGAAGTGACGCGACCATGCCGGGCACGCTGGGGGTGGGGCCACGGTCATCCAAGGGAAAACTCTACGGTTTTCCCTCGGATGGTCGTGGCCCTGCCCCCAGCGTGCCCAGCGTGCCCGTGTCACTTCCAGGCGATGTGGATGCGGCGCACGCGCTCTCTTTGGCCGCCAGCCGGGAATCCCCCGCTGCGGCTGAATTCACACTTGGCAACCCTACTACCTCACAAGATGCCTGTTGTGGGGAGAGGAAGGAAAAGGCGATTGTAAGCCGCTCTGAGACTCCTTACGGTAGAGAAAGGTAAAGGTAAAGGTTCCCCTTGCTTGAAAGCCAGTCGAATCCAACTCTAGGGTTGCGGTGCTCATCTCCGTTTCAAAGCCGAAGAGCCGGCGCTGTCCGAAGACGTTTCTGTGGTCATGTGGCCGGCAAGACTAAACACCAAGGCGCACGGAACGCTGTTACCTTCCTACCAAAGTGGTACCTATGTATCTACTTGCAATTGCTTGCTTTCGAACTGCTAGGTTGGCAGGAGCTGGGACTAGAGACAGGAGCTCACCCCGTCTTGCGGCACCCAGGTCTCGAACCGCTGACCTACTGACCTTCCACAGCCTGCAGTTCAGCATCTTAACCACTTGAGCCACCACAGCTCCATGGTAGAGAAAAGCAGGGTGCAAAAACCTGCTCTTCTTCTTCTCCCTGACACACTCTGAAGCATGTTTTCGAGCCACTCCCTCATCCACGATAACTCATAGGGTCGCCATGTGTCAGAAATAACTGTAAGGGGCAGGAAGGGTTAGCAGAAGAACAAGGTTAACTTTTTAATGGGGGAAGGGCCTCACCGTCATCTGGGCTGGAACCCGGTGCCTTACATCCCCTGCCTATGGCATGATACCCCACTGAACTCTCTCTCCTCCCATAATCCCATTGTCCCTGAGCCCCGCCCCGAAATCTCCAGGAATCTCCCAACCCAAAGTTGGCAACCCCACAAGACAGGCAGCCATGACAGGAATTGTTGGGGGAGGGGATCCCGATGGGCGTTTGGGGAGCGGGCAGACCCGGAGCGGGGGTTCCAGCCGTCCAGGAAGTGACTTGCTCTCTCTCTCTCTCTCCCCCTCCTTCCCCGCTCCCCCTAGCTAATGCAACAGCAAGCCGCTCTGGTGGCTGCCCACTCCGCCTACCTCAACCCCATGGCCACCATGGCCGCTGTCCAGATGCAGCAGATGGCCACCATCAACCCCAACGGCCTCATCGCCACCCCCATCACCCCCATCACGCCCTCCTCAGGTAAGCCGGGGCCCGGGGTGGCCAGGCAATACGGGGCCGGGTCTCCATTCCGGACTGCTTTGGCTGTTTGAGCCCCGCCGTGGCCGAGGTGAGCTCTCGGCCCAAGTCCCAGGTCCCGTCCACCCAGCGGCTCGAAAGCCCATTAAAGGGCAAGTAGACAAAATGGGTACCTGCTCTTAGAGCGGGGGGGCACCCATCCTTCGTGGTGGCGGAGCAGCGGAGTAGTGGTGGTGGAGAACATAGCGGCGACGGCGAATTGAGCGAGCGAGTGAGGCTGGGCTGACAGAGCGTGGAGGCGGGGTGACGCAGCAGGCCGGAGCCTATCGGACAGAGGCCGCAGCAGGAGCACGCGCTGACGCGCCTTCGCCCACGCCCGTGGAATCGCAGCAACTAAAGAGAAGACCCGCGCTATAAGACCTGTGCCAGGAAGATGCCGCCGCCGGATTGAAATACCTCCCGCAGAAAGATTAAGAACAACAACAAAAAAAGACTCCGTCAGAGGGTGCCTGTTAGGCCAGCCACCCCCCTTCATTGTATGTGTAGCCCTAGGCAGGATGTGTTGTATAATGTAATGTGAACCACTCAGAGCCCTCAGGGGGTGAGCGGTATACAAATGGAATGTAATAATAATAATAATAATAATAATAACTGTTCCAGACTGCGCAAGGGAGAGAATGCTGATGTTCCGCACACGCCCTTGGGCATCGGCTGCACACGGAGTGACTGATAGGGTTGCCAAGTCGACTTACCTGGAAAGCGGGGGGATTCCGGGCTCCGTTGGGAGTCTCCCCGTGCGCTTCATCGCGTCGCCTGCGTTGGGGGCGGGGCACCGTGACTCGGGGGGAAACCATAGAGTTTTCCCTCAATTTACAGAGTGTCCCCCCACAATGTGGCCTCCGGGTGACATCATCACTCTGGGGACGCCCTCCGGAAGGGGGTGGAGTTCCCCCCTGGGCCCGATCTGCCGGCGGCGGGTAACGGGCCTCCTGGGTGGGAATTTACCCGCCCACAGCGGGGGCTTGGCAAACCTAGTGACTGAGCAAGATTCGAACCCGTGGCACCTTATAGACCGACAAGTATCTGTCAAAGGGAGGGTTGACTCTCGAAAGCTTATCCCCTGGAAATCCCTAAGGTGCTCCTGGACTCGAATCTTGCTCATGTACTGCTGACCAATGCAGTTGGGTCACCAGGTCCTTACCTGCTGCCGTCGGGGGTGGGGGGATTTGGGGGATGTTCCAGGGATGGGCGGGAGACATTGTTGGTGTGATGAGATCACTTCCGGAAGCGATATCATCACGTTAAGGGTTTTTTTGGTAGAAAAAGTCCAACAGGTACTCATTAGCATAATAGGCCACACCCAGCAGCAGAAACTCATTAGCATATTAGGCCACACCCCCTGACTGCAGCCCTCATTAGCATATGAGGCCGCATTCCCATGTTACCAGAAGTGTGGTCATCCAGCCACACCCACCTTTTGCTTCTTATTCTGTTTACCTTGCTTGTTGTCAAAACCCAGGGCGTTTTTTGTAGCAGGAACCCCTTTGCATGTTAGGCCACACACCCCTAATGTAGCCAATCCTAATGAGTTCCTGCTTTTAGGTGTGGCCTATTATGCTAATGAGTTCCTGCTGGGTGTGGCCAACTTGGGAGCCAGCCGGAACTCCGTTCCTGTGCGTTCCTGCCCAAAGACATCCGGGCGATATTCAACTTTTGGGGCAAAACTCTGTAGTAAAGATGGCTACAAGCCATAGAGTTTTGCCCAAAAAGTAGAGTGGCATAATTGAAGTAAATAAATTCTGGTAAGCGAAGGTAATCGAGGCGGGAGAAGGCACGGGGGTGGGGGCAGGCCAAGGCCAGAACGTCTTTCTGCCACCCTCACCCGACGTCGTTCCCCACAGGTACCAGTACACCGCCTGCCATCGCGGCCACGCCAGTGTCTGCCATCCCAGCCACCCTCAGCGTCAACGGGTACAGCCCCGTTCCCACACAGAGCACGGGCCAGCCTGCGTCGGAGGCCATTTACACGAACGGCGTCCACCCCTATCCAGGTATCTTTTCTGCCCGAGGTCGCTTCTCCGAGCCTTGCCTCAGTCTCTTCATGTTCCTCTTCGCTTGGGATTCCATTCCTGGGCATCCCACCCACCCGTGCCACCTGGGTATCCCGAATAACACACACTTGCTACAGTTCATAATCCCATGTTGCTAGATCCAGCTGCAAATTTCTGTTTCTGTGAGCGTCCCTGGGAAGAAGCTGCTGCTCAACTTGTTCCAAGAGCCAGTTTGGTGTAGTGGTTAGGAGCACAAGACTCTAATCGGGGAGAACTGGGTTTGTTTCCCCACTTCTCCACATGCAGCTGCTAGTGTGACCTTGGGTTAGTCACAAGTTCTCTCAGAGCTGTTCTCTCAAGGGCAGTTCTCAAGAGGGTTCTCTCAGCCCCACCTACCTCACAGGGTGTCCGTTGTGGGGAGGAGGAAGGGAAAGAAGATTGTAAGTCACTCTGGGACTCCTTCAGTTAGTGATGGGCGGGGTATAAATCCAATCTCCTCCTCCTCCTACTTTTTCTTCATTGCAGTGCAGCATCCTGTTTCATGCAGTGGCCAGCCAGATACCTTCAGGATGTCCACAAGCCGGGAAGGAAGGCAATGGCCCTCCTCCATGATGGCTTTCAGCAAATGTTACTCCCAGATAGACTGCCTCTGTATATGCAGGCTCCATTTTAGCCCTTGACCACGGCTAGACTTCTACTCCTCCATTAAGCTAGCTCACACTTAACTCAGCTTAGAGGGAACACTGTGGTGGCAGCAAATTCCATATGTTAATTGCATGTTGTGGGGAATGTATTTACTCTAAATCAAATTCCATCAGCTTCATTCAGTGGCCCCGAGTTCTGGCACTCCATCATACCCCTCTTCCCCCCTATTTCTCCCCCCCCCCGCCCCATCTTTTACAAGTCTCTTCTGGGAGGTCTACGATTTACCAAATCAGGAATTTTGACTGTTAGCCATTTTAGGATTGATAATTTTATTAAGGACTGTTGTTTCCTTGTTGGTTTAATTTTTTTTTTAAACGTATATATTTATTGTATATCCCTGTTGAAAGCAGGGGACGGCGGCCTAGACAGAAGGCTTCTTCCCCTTTTCTTCACACCATGTATGTTTTATAACTCTCTCATATCTGCCCCCCCCCCAATTCCTACACTAAATGTCCCGACGTTTCTCCTTGCAGAGAAAAGGGATCCACCTAGGGTTGCCAGGTCTGGGTTGGAAAATACCTGGAGACTTTGGGGGCGGATCCGAGAGAGGGCGGGGTTTGGGGATGGGAGGGGCCCCAGCAGGGTACAGTTCCACAGAGTCCACCCTCCAAAGCAGCCGTTTCCTCCAGGGGAGCTGATCTCTGTCAGCTGGAGATCAGTTGTAAAAGCGGGAGATCCCCAGGCCCCACCTGGAGGCTGGCAACCCTAGATCCACTGTGTCGAGATGATGGTAACAATATTAAAGCAAGTCCAAAAAATGATCCAAAAAACCCCGGAAACCTGTATATGTACTGCGCTTACAAAAATAGTTTAAGTAATTACAGTGACAGTATAATAATCCAGAGTGCGAAAATACACACCAAGTAATCCTTGGAAGAAGTAATCTTCTTCCGAACAAAGATGAAATTATTCTTAGAAGGGCACTTCACAGCATTTCTGCCCTTCTAAGAATCATTTGGAATCTTATGCAATGATGTCATGACACTTCAGTGAGACTTATTGATATGTACCTGTTAAGTACGAGATTCAACACAGCTAGTGAACAGTGAATCAGCTTTATTGTCGAAGTCAGAAGAAATCATGAACGAGACAAAAACATAGAGCAACAGGCTCTCTTTTAAACAGTCCGGGCTTGGGAGGCCACACCCACATGTCAGATAACAACCAATAACTATTTACAGATAAGGTCCAATCAGAGTGCTTCCCTCCAGAACATTGCGCAGCTCTGACTGGTTTATTTACAATCCTGTTCAGAACTCAAGCATAACATAGAGGAATTTCACATTACCCTTTTTAACCCGTTTTGAAGGCGTTTTTGATCCGTCGTGGAGTAAACCGGTATAGGGCTGCCATTTCACACATGGCTTTCCCCTTCCGGTAAAAAGCTGGATCTGAAGCGGTTTTCCATTTCAGACTGCACCGCTTTTTTCCGCCTTCCCCCCACTGTTTTTCACCCACGAGGGCGATCTCTGGCTTTTTTTTTTAGGTTCACTTTAGAGCGCTATAGCGCTATAGTGCTATAACACAACACTCCAGGCGATCCAATAGGGTTGATATAGTGCCATTGTGTTATAGCATTATACTGCTATAGCGCTATAGCGCTATAAAGCGAACGTTAAAAAAAAAAAAAAAGGCCGGAGATTGCCAATGCAGGTGAAAAACGGTGGGGAAAAGCGCATCAGAACTGGGAGAGGAAACTAAAGATTACTTGGAAGCGGTTGACAGGTAAAACGCTTCAGCCCCGTTTCCTAAACGGGACAGAAACGTTTGTGTGTGAAATTACAAATATATCCCGGTAGAGAGCCAGTTCTAAAATGGTTCTGTCTGAAATGACAGACCAGAAACCGTTTGGGAACTGTTCCGGATTATATTGTCTGTCTAAAATTCCTCATTGTTTTCAATACATAACAGTACCAGTTGAGACATTGACTAGAGATGTTGCATACTCTTCATCTTTGTTCGGAAGAAGATTAGTATCGAAACGGTTGAACATTTCTGAGATCATCGTTAACATCTCATCAATTTACTTATTTCTGTATTTACCTTGTGAAATCTTAATCGTGTGTATATTCGCACTCTGAATTATTACACTGTCACTTTAATTACTTAAACTATTTTTGTAAGCGCAGTACGCATACAGGTTTCCGGGTTTTTTGGATCATTTTTTGGACTAACCCTAGATCCACCTTCTTAGTCATTTGGGTAGCCGTATTCTTCAAACTGTGGCTCCACAATATCCTCTTTGACATGCGGTGACCCGAATTGTAGATAGCGTTCCACAACAGTGCCCCTGGATAAAATGGCTGCTACGGAGGGCAGACTCTATGGCATTATACCCCACTCAAGGCCCCTTCTGTCCCCAAACCCCGCCCTACCCAGGCTCCGCCCCCAAATCTCCGGTAAAACTCCCCTAACATAATTGGAGGTTCCGTCAGGATCTGAACTCAAATCGCTGGATTCAGAGTCCAGAGTGCTAACCGTTGCCACTTGGAGTGGGCAACCTGAAGCGCTCTGCCTTTATTGGCCTCCATTTAAGGGATTCGAGGCGTACGACAGCGAGACGCTTATCCCCTGTGTTTTCTCTTTCTCCCCTCCTGCTGTGTCACAGCACAGAGCCCGGCAGCCCCCGTGGACCCCTTGCAGCAGGCGTATGCTGGGATGCAGCACTACACAGGTATGGTGTGTGTGTGTGTGTGAATGTGGGACACTGTATGGTGTCGGCCTGGGGTGTCTCTGTCCTGGCCCGAGCATCACGCCTGCAGCACGTCACCGGGCATTCGTCTCCTGCCCAGATGATTCCAGGGGGCTGGTTTTCATCGCCACACCTGGGCTTGTGGTTTGGCCTTCTCCCTATGGCCCAGGGTTTCAACGTCCCTCCTGGCAACTGGCGAGGGTGGCGAGACTTACCGGGAGCAGCTGGGAGATCCATCTGATGTACAGCAACGTGTCCATGTCATTGCCCACGTGACCTGGAAGTGACGTCATCACATCCAGGATGTCGGGGCGACTCTCTGGTACTTGGGCGAAAAACTCTATGGTAAATTTGGCTTCTACCAGACAGGTTTTGCCCAAATACCAGAGCTTCACCATGATATCCCGGATGTGGGGAGGAGGTAAGGATGCTATGCTGAAAATCTGGTGCCTCTGCCTCAAAAAACAGCCCCTCCCCCATAGCCCCAGATACCCACAAATGGATTCTCCGTTATACCCTATGGGGACTGTTCTCCATAGGGTATAATGGAGTGCCCAGCAGACATCCCCCCCGCTTCTGATAACCCTGAAGCGGGGGGAGGGTCTCCAAACCACTGGGTCCCCTGCTCCCAACTGGGGATTGGCCACCCTAGGACCCAGGCCTCATTGGTAGACAGCGGCAACTCAGAAGGTTTCCTGGTTATCTCTGGCAATGCCAGGTGCATGATATGCACTCTGTTGCCCCATTGGCTGGGCAACAGCAGAGGTTCTGCGTTCCTTCTCACCCATAGGCCCCCTTGTCTGAGGAACACCAGAGGCTTGGGGTTCATCCTCACCTATAGGCCCCGATGCCTGGGCAACACAAGAGCCTTGGTGTTCCTTCTCACCCGTGGGCTGTGTTGCCTGGGCAACACCAGAGACTTGTTCCTTCTCACCCATAGGCCCCGTTGCCTGGGCAACATCAGAGGCTTGGTGCTCATTCTTGTGGATAGGCCCTGTTGTCTTAGCAACACCAGAGGCTTGGAGTTCCTTCTCACTTGTGGTTCCCGTTGCCTGGGCAACAGCAGAGGACTGGTGTTCCTTCTCATGCATAGACCCTGTTGCCTTAGCAACACCAGAGCTTTAGTGTTCCTTCGCACTCATAGGCCTTGATGCCTGGGCAACACCAGAGGCTTGGTATTCCTTCTCACTCACAGGCCCCGTTGCCTGGGCAACAGCAGTGGACTGGTGTTCCTTCTCATGCATAGACCCTGTTGCCTTAGCAACACCAGAGACCTGCCACTCACCACCACGTAGGCCTTGTTGCCTGGACGATGCCAGTTTGCGGTTCTGTACGTTGCCTAGGCCTCATGGGGTAGTCGCCCTGTTGCCAGACCCTGTTGCTTGACGGATCCGAAACAGGAGCCTGCCCTTCACTCTTCCCTGCTTCCTCCCACAGCCGCCTACCCCGCAGCCTACGGACTGGTGAGCCCAGCCTTCCCGCAACAGCCAGCGACCATCATCACCCAGCAGCCGCCTCCACAACAGCAGCAGCAGCGGGAAGGTAGGTTAGCCCGGATCATGTCTCAAAATGGAGGAGCCCTTTTCCTGCCAGTGGCTCAGTGGTAGAGCCTCTGCTTGGCACGCAGATGGTCCCAGGTTCAATCCCCGGCATCTCCAGGTAAAAGGACCGGGCAGTAGGTGATGTGAAAGACCTTGAACCTGAGACCCCAGAGAGCCACTGCCGGTCTGAGTAGGCAATACTGACTTTCATGGACCAAGGGTCTGATTCTGTAGAAGGCAGGTTCGCGTGTTCAAAAAGAAGCTGCAATCCAGGAGGAAAGGCTACGAGGAAAGGCCCAGGGCCCTGGGAATGTTTAGTTTGGAGGAGAGGAGATTGACGGGGGGGACATGATTGTCTCTCTTTAAATATCTGAAAGGCTGGTCATTTGGAGGAGGGCAAGGAGCTGTTCCGGTTGGCAACAGAGGAGAGGACCTGAAGCAACAGGTTTAAATTACATGCCGAAAGGTATCAGCTGGATATTAGGAAAAACCTTTCCACGGTCAGAGTGGTTCAAAGGTGGAATCAGCTGCCTAGAGAGGTGGTTGGCTCCCCTTCACTGGCAGCTTTCAAGAAGTGTAATGTATTCAATAAGCTGCCATTTAGGCTTGCCAAGTCCCCCCGGGGGGCGGGGAAACCCCAGCCCCAGATGCCCGTTCCCCGCCGCCACCTGATCGGGCCCCGGGGGGAACTCCACCCCGACGTGCATGTCACCAGGAAGTGACGCGACCACGCCGGGAACGCTAGGGGCGGGGCCACGGTCATCCAAGGGAAAACTCTATGTTTTCCCCTTGGATGGTCGTGGCCCCGCCCCCAGCGTGCCTGGCATCGTCACATCACTTCCTGGTGACGTGGATGCGGGGGGGGGGCGCGCTCCTGGATCAACCCGGGAGTCCCCCACTCCGCAACGAGGACGGACTTGGTCAATAAGCTGCCATTGAATGCATAATGTGTGATGAAAACATCTAATTGAAATGTCATGTTAAGCTTCGTCCTGGGCTAGGATCCAAATCCATCCAATCGCATTGATAGCCCAGGAAGAACCAACCAATCACTTGTCAGCAAGCTCCCTGAGTGGGAACGTCCGTGATTGGTCCTTATGCATACAACCTTATTGGTTGGTAATTGTACAGTAGGCGTGGCTACATTAGCCGGGAGAGTTTAAAAGCAGGACAGCTGCAATGTAAAAGCTGTTCTGGCTATCAGATGTTGATCCGTGTTGGAGTTGTGTTCGAGTTGCTGAATAAAGCTGCTCTTTTGCTGAATCACTCTCCCTACTTGTTAAGCGAGCGACTTAACAAGAAGAGGCTGGACGAATATTTGTCAGAGATAAGAGGCTGGATGAATATTTGTCAGAGATAAGAGGCTGGACGAATATTTGTCAGAGACGCTTTAGGCTGGTCCTGCATTGGGCAGGGGGTTGGACTAGGTGGTCTGTAGGCCACCTTCTAACTCTCTGATTCTAAGATTCTATGATCTGAGCTTACAGCTCTAACTTGCCAGCTCGCTCCGTTCATTCGTGGAGGCCTGCCTTCCCCGCCAGACCAAACTGCCGACTCAGCCTCGCCAAGCTGAAGGCCAGAAAGCAGCTCCCATTTGGGAAGAGAGAGATCTGAACATGCAACTATTTAATTCCACACGCTGTCTCTCTTCCCCCTGGAGCGCTCCCCCGGAAGATTGTTCGAGAGACTCCCGTTCCCGGAACAAAATGGAATTAAAACCTGCAGAGGGTTTGCTCTTACAACAGCTGGCAGCACAACGGATTACCCCCCCCCAAGTAGTGGTCAGAAACGGCTACCAAAGGTCATTCAGCAGGCTCAGCTACCAAGAGAGAGGAATTAAATCAATCAATGCTGACTGGAACCAGAAGACGACTTCTGGACGCCTGACCGAAAGTGTCTGTCTGAGGCAGGGGTCCCCAACCTTTTCGAGTCTGAGGGCACGTTTGGAATTCAGACGTGGCATGGTAGGCGCAGCAGCAAAATGGCTGCCGTAAAAGGCGGAGCCAGCCACAAAACGATTGCCACAACTTAACTTCAGGAACACAGGATAGAGCCCCATGCTGTGGTGGCAGCTGCTGCCAAAGCAATATTTTTTGAAATCTGCACAGCCAAACAAATCTCCAGCGGCCAATCAGAAGCCTTGTTGGGTAGAAGCCCTACCTGGCCCCACCCACTTACCAGGTGCTTCTTCTAGCAGCCCTGAGATCCCAGACTATGTAGGGTTGCCTGATTGGAAGTTAGGAGTGACAAGGGGGGACCCGCGATACTCGTGGGGGGGGGAGGCAGAGGAGGAAGCAGCAGGAGGAGGGAAGTACCCCCCCATCCTGCTGGTTCCCCCCTGGCCTCCACCCCCCTCCATCTCCCCCCCAGCTCCTCTTCCCCCCTCACCCGGTACTGAAGCCAGGGGCGAGCGGACCACTTTGGTGGGGAGGGAACAGCGTTCCGTGCGCCTTGGTGTTTAGTCATGCCGGCTACATGACCACGGAAACGTCTTTGGACAGCACTGGCTCTTC